TATATATATATATATATATATATATATATATATATATATATATATATATATATGACAAAATACACAATTAATATTTTAAGTTAAAATTACATAATAAACATAATAATAAATGAATTTTATTATTCTATTTATTGAATATATTTGTGATATTTTTATAAACAAGTTATCATGAAGCAACCGAAAACAGTGTACACTATTTCGTTTCGTTTATTCGTGTTCTAACCTAAAACATCTATCAACGGTTATTTACTGTTTTTATTTTAATTTAGTGATTAATATTGTAAAAAAATTCGTATAAACGGATATCTTTATTACACCCGATTATTAGGATACTCGAATGTTATTCGAAATTGAGTTTCAAAAAATGCTTTATTAAAATGTATCGCAACTGCACCAGATTTTTCGGAATGCAAAAAACTAGAAAACGTATATTTTTAAATACATAAATTCAATTTACGGAGGAGGCTCGAATTAAAAAAATATCTGCAGCAAATTTCAAAATTAAAATCATTAATAATGCCAAATGATAAGAATTTGAAATACATGTACTTAATATTTTTTTCAAAGATATTTATATTTCAAATTTTTATTATCCTTGCCAAAAATTAAAAACTTCAATCATCCGATAAGGATAAAAATAAAATATCACGATAACATTTATCCTAAAATTGACAACTTTGATAATTTTTTTATAGTCTTAATTAAAAATAATTTAGATAGAAATTTTATTTTGAATCAGTTCTCATAAAAAAACAAATACAACAAAATATTAGGGTACTACCAGAGGTACTCCAAAAGATTTAAGGAACTCGTATAAATTTTGACAGTTACCAAAAAGAAAATTAAAAAAGATCTAAAATAAGATATATCCATGTCCAACACAGGTACGTAATCAAGATAGAAGGAATTTAAGTATCAAATAAATAAAAATAGTGCAAAAGGAAAATACAATAAAAAATTAAATAAGATATTAACACAAAAAGGCTTGACATGGAATAAATAATTTAAATAGGAAATAAAAATAAAAATAATTCGAATTGCTTACTAGATGCGTCTGATGCACCCTGAAAGGGATCGTTGAGTTTGGGCCGCTTATTGGGCGGCCCATCCACTAGGTGGTCGGCCATTCTCGTTATAGTTAGATGATCGCCTTGTGGATGCTTCTTCTGGTGCCACTATCCTTGGCCTTAAATCTCACTAATCACTCCTCTCGCTTCTGTGTATATACACGAACGTCGTCGTCTTGACCCTGCTTGTTGTTTGAGGCGCAGGTATATAAAACGTACATCCAGTGCGTGCAAGTCTATAAAACGTTGCCTGCGGCATGCGCGTGTTCTCTCTTTTTGTCTCCGTCTTTCTCTCTCTCTCTCTCTCTCTCTCTCTCTCTCACTCTCATACACTCGTTCTTTCTCAGCAGTACTGGCTCCGATGAAAACCTCGTCGAGTGGGCTGCCCATCCGGGGGCGGCGACTCCGGTGCGACCGCAACTCCTGCTGCTTGGATCATCGACCTAGCTGCGCAGGAGCAGCGTCGGCCGCTGCTGCTCCCCGAGGACGGCGGCGCCTGTAACGGCGCCGCTGTTACCCGTCTGCCGCCGGTGGAAGCTCGTACGTAGTCCTGGGCCTGGCGCCCCGAGCCGCCCCGTGCATGCACTCCGGGTTGTACCTCATCAACCATTGGGCATCCTCGTGTCCGCACAGCCGGCGCCCACGACGCCTCCCGCGTACGTAGCGGGACCCTCCGGCTCCTTAGCAAACGAGTGAAGAGGAGGGGAAACCGACGAGCGGACCTTTAAAAGGCGCACATGCGCACGCTCGAGCACTCGGTCCTGGATCTCACGATCAACCCCTAATTTGTACGCGGTAGGTCTATTCGAGGGCGTTTCAAACTACTCGTGACAGAACGAATATAGGAAAATCGGCACTACGACGCGGAAGCACTAGTCTGAGCGAAAGGACGTCGGGCTCGCGTGCGCGCGCGATTATGTTTACGTTGCACAGGGGCACACACGCGTGTATACAAGTGATATACACGCGGCGCTGGCTGCTCAGGGGTCGCTCGCAGGTAGCGCAGGTAGCACCACTAACAGCGACGCGAGCCCCGTTTTCGTTGAACGCGCACCGCTGAAACACAAAGTCGTGTGACGCACCGGGAAGACGACAACGCGCGTGGGCTCTCGCAGGTTCACTATCGCCGTTCCCGCGGCCGAATTATTATTCTTCTGGTTATTGGTTTCACTGACACCATCTTCCTTTCGTCTTGACTCCGCTTTTCGTTCCTTCTCTTTTGCGCCCTCTGGAGCTCTCGCTGCTGCTGCTGTTGTTGCTGCTGTTACTCTTGCTACTTGACGACCGACACAGCACGTACACTGGTGTAATATACACATATACTGCCCCGCGCACAATCTCACTTTCTCTCTCTCGCGCGCACAATTTCTCTCTCTCTCTTTGTCTCTCTCACTCTTTCGTTTTTTCGTTCTCGCGTACGCATGGAATTAAGAGAACACAGTTGAATGCGGATGGATACACATAGCCCACTTAATGACGATACTATTTACAAGACATAAGGACCACGGGGGCGTTCCTCACAGTCCTTGGTCAGGAGAGGCGGCGCCCAAGTCTCGTCTACGTTGCTCCACGCTCGGGGTGGCGGTGGCGGTGTGGCGGCACTAGACGCGCGCGAGCGCTCTCATGCTGACTCTGTCTCTCTCCCTTCTTTTCTTACTATCCCTATCACCGTTCCTCCCCCCGCCCCCTGCCCCGAAACAACTTCTCTGGGGTATACACACAGGATAAAAGGAAAACCGTGAAGGCACCGCCAAAATTCCACAAGAATTTATAACTTACTCCTGGTTTTTAATCTTCCGTATTATATTGTTGTGACGATGTAGGCGCCCGGGTGTCCAGCTCCCTCTATTGCTCTTCTTTTTTCACTTGCTCGGTTGATTCCGTCTTTCTCGATCCTCTAACAGCTACTCGTCCAAGGCACGACGCAAGCTCCTCCCGAGAACGGCTGGACAAACGATCCTGTCGTCATCTACGAGACGCCTTTACCTTTATGGCGACGTACAGACAACGCGCAAAGTTACGGCTGCTACTGCTGCTGCGGCAGCGGCAGCGGCAGCGGCGGCGCCGAGAAGAGACAACGTACACTCGACACGCACGATACACACGACAGTCAAAATGGCGGCGGCAGCTCAGCTATCTCGTTGCGCGTTCGACGGAACGGAAACACGACCCCGGAGGAGTTTGTGTAGTATGCTGCTGTTACTGTTGCTGTTGGTGCTGCTGCTGCTGTGTTGCTTGCGCTCTCCCTCTCATTCTCTCTCTCTTTTTCTCATTCTCACTCTATCTCGTTCTTTCCGACGGCCGTAAAGTTGAACCTCGTGCGCTCTCGCTTCTAGGAGTTCATCTCTTCTCTCTCCCGCCTTATTCCGTTCGGGCTCTGTCTCCGTCACACTAGACGTCCGTAGCAAGCGCGCATGTGTGAGGAGTGCGCGCGACGTTTTTTGCACTGCTGCGCTTGTCAGGGGAAAATGTCCGACTGGTTCGCACTGGCAGCGGGCTGCTTTTAGGCTGGACTCGATCGCTACCAAGCCCTGCCATTTGTTACTGTGATCACGTGATCTTCGAACGGATGTTCGATTGGCCGAGTACTGCAACCCATTAAGTTGACGTCTTCTATGATCGTCTACTTACGGACGAAAGACATTACAGCCGTGAAATTTCTCATTGCTCGCAACGCTAATACTCCCTGTTGTGACCGTCATCGTGTATGCTGTGAAAGAGGCTTAGGTTAGATTGCGATGCGCCGCGCAGCGCTACCAAAGAAGCAAACGGTTGGCGGGTTGTGAGGAGAGGGGCAGGAAGACGCGCAAAATATCCTACTATGCAGATGCTATTGTCAATCCTATTTTTCCATATATTTATATGAATCATTATCTTGAACTCTTTCTCTTATCTCATTGATTTTATGCTCCCATTTTCTCCCATTATTTCATACTTTAAAATTGCAATAAGTTTCCATCTTTTAAAAATTATTCTGAAATATAAAGAATAATAATTCTATGAAAAAAATTTTCTTTTTAGGTTAAATTTAATATATTAACTTAATTATAATTTTATACCATAAAGGGAAAAAAATTATTACAGTTGACAATTTTATCTACGAAAAGAGAAGTATTTTAAAGGTATTTCTCAACAATAATACATTTTACGCCTTAACATGTTACTATGTTTGTGATAATCCATCTTTCTCTACTTCATGTGTAGCTCTGTCGATATAATTCTATTCTAAATAATGATCTGCTATCCACTCTACATAGGCACAATAATAATAAAAACAATCCAAAACTTATTCTTTAATACATTTTCCAACGTATAAATAATAAGCTATTTTTATAAATAGAATCATTTCTCTATGCATGTTTAACAAAGAGGTTATGTCGTGAACAATAAAAAAAGTACAATTTTCAAGATATATTTTATTAAAAAATAAACAAAAATATTTAGCAGAATAAAATTAAGCGTCACCCTTTATATATCCAACCTTACATCAATATTGTCGTTGTTTATTTAAATATAATAATTTCTAACAATCATTTCATTTATACGATAAATGTTAAACGCGATAACGTAGGATCAACGGTGTATAGGATCACGCTGTATTGCATATGATAAAATGTGACATGGCTGATCAAGACTGAACACCTGCGGGAGAATGCGTACACAGCCGCGATCTTGCTCATAAGAAACTATCTTTTTGGGAATAGAACTTTTTAGGGAATAAATATTATTAATAATTTCATTATTTGATTATTTAATTATTTAGAAACATTTGCTACGTATTAAAATTCTAATATTTTACCAAATTTTGAAACAATATCATGTATTATATGACAATAATAATACTCTTTCTTCAAAATTTTTTTTTCAGAGGTATATGAGTCAAGGCCTATAGGTTAACTTTTCCTGATTGGTTATTTGTCAGCTATGACCAATAGAAATTAGATTTAAACTGTTTAAGAATAAATGGTAACGTTATTATACGTCATATTTATTATTGACGTCTTACTGAGAAAATATATATTGTGATTTAAATATTTTAAACCATAAAGGTAGACATTAAAATTATTGATATTTGTATTGATATTGATTATTCATAGACTATGTATAAATTTTTATCTATAGATTATTAAATGTTAAACAATAATTTTTACATTTCAATAATAATAACTATAAAACTCTAAAATAAGGTCACAATTTCAGCATGAAACTTTCTACATTTTGAATAATTTAAAAAAATGTATGTCTAACTAATTTATCTATTTTAAATATATGTATATATTTAACGATATAAACAACGATACATGTATTTTTTTTATTAAAATCAAGGTATTTTATATTTTATCAATACTATTTTTTATATTTTATTAGTACAGTTATCAGAATTGATATACAAACAGAATTGACATTAAAATGAGATGTAAATTTATTTTTCAACTATTTTTATTTTTAGTGCAAGTATAAGTTATTATTGTTATATATTAATTGTGATATAACTTGTGATATAACTAATATAATAATTTAAGAATTTCAAAATACTAATGTATCTTTTATAATTATATTTATTTACATAATAGACAAACTTTAAATACGTCTATTATCGGTATAAAATTTGAAAAAATTAACAAACTAGTATTGATAATTCTTAACTTAAAAATTATTTTCTAGATATATTACATTAATAAATTTTCTCGTACATATAAGTAATTTTACAATTTTACAAATATATATAATAAATGGTGGGAATAAAGTATGTTTTTTCTGGTTGAATAAAACCGTACAACTTTAATAAAATTCACGAGAGAACAACATTGACAATATACTTTAACGTAATAATTTTATGAATAACTTTAAAAAATTTAGATAATATATATAGATTAAAAAAATAGTTAGTTAACGTTAAAATATCTATTAGTTTATTGTTCATAAAATTAAATTAATGTGGATATCTTTTCTCAGGTTTCCCGTAATTTACATTCACATAAATTTGCACGACTGGTTAATGATTCGGGGTTTAAAATATGTTAATCTAGTCTATTACCTTGAAATTAAAAGATGGGTATCGGCTTGCATTTAGTAATGTTACATTCATGAAACAAGTAATGCATAGGTGTAAGTACAAATTATATTTGTTTGTTAACCATTTTCTTAGTCAAAATTTTCCACCAAAAATCTTTTTAGCACATGTGACATATGTGCGCGCGTCGATTATAATATATATATATATATATATGGTTACTGTTTTGCTTCATTCAACGGAAAAACAGGTGATTTTCCCCTCTCCCTTCAAACACTCAC